AGCTTGTTTGTCTTCAATCCTGTCTTAAGATAATTGATTCTGTTAGTATTAGCATTTCTCATACTAAGAGCCACAGTGACAAAGATAGCATGGTACTAACACAGCAAAACAGACCTATATACCAATGAAACTGAACAGAGGACTCAGAAATAAACCTACACAGCTATGGACCCTAATTTTTGACAAGGTTGTCAAAATCACACACTAGAAAAAAGACAACCTGTCTAATAAATGGTGCTGGCAAAATTGGATATCCACTTTTAGAAGAACAAAGCTATATCTGTATAAGAGTCAATTCAAAATGAATCAAATTTAAATTAAAACCAGAAACACAGAAATTGCAACAGAAAACAGAGAGAACACTTCAGGACACAGGTATAATCAAATGATTTCCAGATAAGATTCCAATAGTACAGGAAATCGCGCCAAGAATTAATAAATGGGGCTGCATAAAACTAAAATGTTTCTGCATAGCAAAGGAAACTACGTAAGTAGTAGAGCAAACAGACAGCCCACAGGATGAGAGAAAATCTTAGACCAGACAGGGCTTAATATAGATCAGGGGTTAGAATAGAGCTTATCTGTTTAACCAAAAAAGTTGAACACAAAAGCAAAATAAAACTGTCAATCAACGCCGGGCAGTGGTGGCACATGCCTTTAACCCCAGCACTTGGGAGCAGAGGCAGGCAGATCTCTGTGAGTTCGAGACCAGCCTGGTCTACAAGAGCTAGTTCCAGGACAGGCTCCAAAGCCATAGAGAAACCCTGTCTGGAAAAACAAAAACAAAAAAAAATTGTCGATCAACAAAAGAATAAACAAATGAAATAAACAAAAAAAGAAACATACATAGCAAACAGGCATTTTTAAGTGTTCAGTGCCCTTAGCCATCAGGGAAATTAAAATTAACTACTTTGAGGTTCCATCAGAATAGCTATTATCAAGAAGAGAGGTGGCTGGTCATGATAATACACACTTTTAATCCCAGCACTTGGGAGGCAAAACTAAACAGATTTCTGTGAGTTCAAATCCAGCCTGGTCTGCAGAGCAAGTTCCAGTGCTACATAGTAAGACCCCCTTCCATAGGAAGGGAGAGAGGGAGAGGGGAGGGAGGGAGGGAGAGAGAGAGGGAGAGCAAGTTCCAGGACAGCCCGAACTGTTATACAGAGAAACCCTGTCTCAAAAAACAAACAAACAAACAAACAAAAAGCAATAACAAAACCTTAAGTCCTGGTTGAACTGCTTTGTTTTTTCAACTTGACACAAGTTTGGGAAGAGGAACCTAAATTGAAAAATTACCTCTATAATATTTTCATAAGAATGCTGTCAGGCATCTTTTTGATTAATGATTGATATGGGAAGGTCCAGCTCACTGAGGACAATGCCAGCCCCTGGGCAGATAGTTCTGGGTTGTGTAAGAAAGCAGACTGAGTAAGCCATGAGGAACAAGCTAGTAACAGCACTTCTCCATGGGTTCCTGGCCCCAAGTACCTGCCTTGAAATTCCTACCCTGACTTCCCTCAGTGATAGAGGGTATGACCTGAGAATTGTAAGATGAAATTAACCCTTTCTTCCCTAAATTGCTTTTGGTCATGGTGTTTTATCACAGCAATAGAAACCCTAATTAGGATGCTTTATCAATGTTAGCAGAGTATCAACTAGTGAAATCAGAATGGACATGCCTCAAAATAAGTAAATAAATAAATAAAAGCTAGAGCTTCAGTATGGCCGAGCTGTCTCACTCATGTCTATATACTCAAAGGACGCTCTCTATAGCCCACTACGGAGTTACTTGAACGTTGGAGTTAACTGCTGCCTTATGCACAGCAGCAAGGAAGCGGGATCAGCCTAGCTGCTCATCAGCTGATAATGAAAATGTACCGTGTATGCACAACGGAATTGCCAATAAAATGAACGGGTTGGGAAAATATTGTATTAAATGAGGTGGCCTAGACTCAGAAAAACAAAAATTACATGTTCTTTTTTGGTGAGGATCCTAACTTATATGCATAGGTATGTAAGTAGGGATAAGCATGGATGTAGAATTCGAAACTAGAAAGGAGACCAGGAGAAGGCAGAAAGAGTTAGGAGGGGGTGGGCAATAGACCACGGGTGACATGAGAATAGAAATGAAGTTAAATGGGGGTTAGAAGAGCAAAGTGGTCAGAGGATGGGAGAGAAGCCTGCAGAGAAGAGGAAACAAAAACAAATTTGTTTGAAAATTCCATAATGATTTTATAATTTTATGCTCTTATGTATGCTAATTAAAAAGAACTTTAATGCCATGTAGTTAAATCAGTGCTTCTCGCCTGCAGTTTCAGTGATTCTGGGCTGTTTGTTCATGGGATTTGCCACCTGTCTGCGAATAGGGCTTCTGTTTGTTCTGAGGAATGCAGCACTGAGAGGATTTCTGAAGCACTGGTGTGGAGTGGTTTGGCTCCCAGGAGTATTACCACAAGGAGGCAGTGGCCAGGGATAATCCTCTTTGACAGCTGACACTCAAAGAACAGAGCAAGCTAACGCAGCTCCCACACACCTAAACACAACAGAGCCAGATTCCTAGCCAGAACCCACTCTGTTCTCACAAGGCTACTGTGAACCCAAAGCTCCTGAATGCGGCCAGCTCTGCTAATTCCTAGTAACCAAACAACTCAGAATGGCCAAGGATTTTCTCTTTCTTTTTCTTTTTCTTTTTCTTTTTTTGGTTTTTAGAGACAGGGTTTCTCTGTATTGTTTTCGAGGCTGTCAGTCTAGCCCAGCCTCGAACTCACAGTGATCCGCCTGCCTCTGCCTCCCGAGTGCTGGGATTAAGGGTGTGTGCCACCACCACTCGGCTTTTTTCTTTCTTTTAAAAATTAAATTTTATCTTTATGTGTGTGTATGTGTGTCTGTGTAACATGTGCAGGCAGTGCCTTCAGAGGCCAGAAGAGTGCATTGGATCTCCTGGCACTAGAATTACACAGACGGTTGTGAGCTGCCCTGTGGATGCTGGGAATTGAATCTGGGTCCTCTGGGAGAGTAGCAAGTGTTCTGAACTTCTGGGTTATCTTTCCAACCCCAAGTATTTTTTCTTCATTATTACATCTGATACAAATTTTAATAAAGTAATAGATTTTAAATCAACATACAAAAACTAATAGTCTCGCCAGGCGTTGGTGGCGCACGCCTTTAATCCTAGCACTCGGGAGGCAGAGGCAGGCGGATCTCTGTGAGTTCGAGACCAGCCTGGTCTACAGAGCGAGTTCCAGGACAGCCTCCAAAACAATACAGAGAAACCCTGTCTTGAAAAAACCAAAAACAAACAAACAAACAAAAAAAAACCTAATAGTCTCCCTATATGGCAATAGCAGACACACAGAGAAAAAAAATTAAGGGAAAATCCATTGATATCTTCAAAAGAAAAAAATAGGGCCTGGAGAGATGGCTCAGCTCTTTAGACCACTGTCTGCTCTTGCTGACGACCAGGTTCCAATTTCCATCACCCACATGACAACTCATAACTGCCTATAACTCCTATCCTGGGATTCAATTAAATGCACATGATACATAGATGTATATGCAGGTAATATCCTCCCCCAAATAATACAATAGGCTATTAGATAACCCCAGGAACTGATATGGGATTGCATGGGATTAGAAAGCTTCTATAGGATCTGGAGAGATAGGAGCAATTAAGAGTACGAACTTCAGAGGACCTGAGTTCAGTTCCCAGCACCCACATAAGACAGCGTCATCTCGGGAGCCCACTCCACATGGACGGATGCTCTCTCAGCCTGGACGCATGGGGAAGAGCCTAGGTCCTGCCCTGGATGAAATGATAGTCTCTGGAGATCCCCCCACGGAGGGCCTCACCCTCCCTGGGGAATGATGTGGGGATTGGGCTGGGGGTAGAGGGGGTGGGGGTGGGGCTAGTGGAGGGGGGGGAGCTGGGATTGACATTTGAAGCATGCATGTTTCTAATTTAAATAATAATAAAAAGACAGCGTCACCTCCTAACGATCCACACTCTTCTGGCCTCCATGGGCACCAGCACTCACTTGCACATATATGATTTAGGATTTTTAAAAATAAATGCATGAAATCAGCCAGGCTTGGTGGCACACACCTTTAATCCCAGCATTCAGGAGGTGGAAGCAGGCCGATATTTGTGAGTTCAAAACCAGCTTGGTCTAAACAGTGAGTCCCAGGTCACCCAGGTCTACATAGAGAGACCCTGTCTCAAAACAAAACAAAATACCATGAAACCAGAAGTCTGGGGAAATGGTCTTGCAACTATGAATTCTTAACTGTGCCTACAGACCTTTAGAGGCTCAGAGAGGTACAGAGAGCTCTTGGGATCCTCAGTCAGAACATGGTGTGTGTGTGTGTGTGTGTGTGTGTGTGTGTGTGTGTGTGTGTATGTGCCTGTGTGTGTGTGTGTGTAGGTCAGAGAATAACTTGCACGAGTTGGTTCTCTCCTTTCACCATGTGGGTACCAGGTTCATACTCAGGTCACCAGGCTTAGTTAGCAGCGGGTACCTTTACCAGCTGAGCCTTATCACCAGCCCAGAACACAAATCTTAAAAGGTGTGTTCTTCACCTTCTTCAGTGACTTGAACACAAAATGACAACTCTTTCCTTTTCCTGAAATGGTTTACAAAGGTTCCTCTTTTTTTAGTTTTGAGACAGTGTCTCACTGTGTAGCCCTGGTACCTATTGTGGAGCCCAGACTAGCAATGATCCTCCTGCCTCTGCCTCCCAGAGGTCAAAATTATTAATATGAGGCACAATATCCAGCGCCATAATTTTCTTAATAGTGCAGTTATAGTCCCCTCACAGTTGCTGAACACGAGCTCTTGGGAACTCAACCAGAATGTTAACTATTTTCTATAAGTCTTTTGGGGACACTAGGCTAACCACTCAATGTTTTGAATTTGCTTTTATTCAGTCAAAGATGACAAATATGCTTTATATAGTTTTCTATATTGTAATCCAATTTTGATATGAATAAGACAACACCAAAATCAACAAAACGTATTTAATTTTTGTTACATTCAAAAGTTGGTTATACTAAGCTGCACACTGCACAAAATATCACAGATTTCAATAACCTCATTCTTCCGAACACCACACCACCCATCTCAAACACAATCCTTTCTCCTTGCCTTAAAATTCTCAATAAAAACCATCCCCAAGAATGTCAAGACTGGATAGGATTCCAAATCCCAGGCTTTAGCAGCTGAAGGCATTGACACTGAAGAAATAAATTAAGTGGAGCGGGCTTCTAGCTATTCTTGGTTAGCTTTGTCTCGCAGACCCAGCGGAAGGGCCTCTGGCAGACGTCATCATTCCAGCGGCCTTCGGAGGTGAAGTGGGCACAGTCCTCTCCTCCTCCCAGCCCGTGCCCATACCAGTTATCGGGCTGCTCTGAGGCCCAGTGCCTATGAATAGACACAGGTGTGAGTCTCCAGAGACCAGACTCTGAATCACATCCCCAGATTCTACCACCTGCCCCAGAGACAAAGCCTCGGGAGAAGAGGTGGTCCCAGGCAGATGTGCAGTGCACACTCACGTAAAGCCTTTCTCAAAGTCAGTTCCATCCACCCATCGCCAGGGCCCGTTTTGGTCCGTCAGGCCCATCCAGGTGACCATGTTGGATAATTGACCCTGAAGAAAATTCTGAAGAAAAAAAGAGTATGGTCATCTCCCCCTTAGACCAGAGAGCCCCCCTCCAAAGAGTCAACTCAGACATCACCTGCTCTGCCATGGAGTTGACCACCACCAGGTGAGCATTCTCCAGCTGGCAGTATTTGTCAGCATCAGGCCACGACTTCTCAGACTGAGAGAACCAGTAGCAGCTGCCTTCGTGCTCCACCCAGTGAAGAGGGCAGCAGGCCATTTCAGAGCCTGTGAAGAGAGGGAGGGTGGAGAACAGGGCGCTGCCTAGCGTGCCATCTCCCAGAACTGGAGCCAACTCCGCCCATCGCCATCCTCACCATTGTTCTTGAGGCTGGCCAACTGGCATGTCAGGAACTTCAAGTCCTTCCCCAGCTCTTGGACACGCTCCGTTATTTCAGACAGGCCTGGGACACACAGAAGGAAGTGAGAACAAAGCTCTGCTGTGACATCTGCTTGACAAAGAGTCCCTGCTGCTCAGACGGCCTGCACAGGGCTCAGTCTAGGAACTACACACGCTCATCTGCCCCCAGGGCACAGGAAGCCCAGGTCTTACCTGTTTTGAATTGCTGTTCCTTTTTCTCCACCGTGCTCTCCAGGGAAGAAACCTTCTGGCTCAAGTCTCGTCCTGGAAGACGGCAGTTCAGCACCAGGAACGGCTTCCACCCACACCCTCTGCACTCAGACACCAGGCCTCTCACCTGCCAGCAGCTCCTGCCTGTGGTCATCCACCTCTACCTTCAGGGAGCTGATCTTCTCCTGCAAGCTGTTGCCTGCACAGCAAGGGACCGGAGCTCAGGCCTCTGCCCTCCCTACCCAGCCACTGCTGCCCAGAACCTGGTCAGAGCCCAACTCACCCCTGGAGATCAGGGCCTGCAGTTCATCCTTTGTGTTGGAGGTGACGTTGTCTAAAGTGGCTCTCAGGGTGCCTAGGTCCCTCCTTAACTGGGAATCTGATGAGGGCGACAGAATGATCAGAACCAAGGCTGCTCGGTCCCTCTGTGCCAGCACTGAGCTGGGCACATTGCACAGAGAGTAGCGTTCTGGTCCCAGAGTCCCGGTGGGGCAGGTGCCATTGTCACCCAGTACTGCACATGAGCAAACCCAGTCTTAGGAGGTGAGGTAATGTGACCGTGTAACCCAAGCACAATAAGTGACACGGCCAGCAGCCATCCCCATCATGAGTCCCCATGTCCCCACCAGTGTCCCCACTGCTGCTGTCAGCTACTACCCACTCCAGTCACTGTGCTTCTCTGGCTGTTAACCCTGTCATTGCCATGGCCCTCACTGCTGTCCGCAGGTGCCCTCTGCACCCATCACTGCCCCATCGGCCTGGCCCACCACACACCCCAGTGACTCCCCTCTTCCCTGCCACACTGAGGACACCCACTTTGGGATCCAATCACAGAGACAACCACCAGCAGCAGGAGGCCGAGGACCAGGGAGAACAGGAGGAGGCGGGTCCAAGAGAAGATATTCCACAGGAAGGACTGGGGGGGAGCCGCTGAAAGAAAAGAGGGCGTCAAGACTCAGCGGATCCAGATTGTAAGAAAGGAAGGGAGAGAAAGGGTTTCTGGGGTGAGGGGGTTAGTGAAGGCTTGTCACTGGAAGTGTAGGGGACATAGAGAATAAGGGGACTCTGGATACCCAGGCATTTGATGCCTCCAATGTACTGGAAATTTATGGTTCCCTGGACCCCTCACAGTCCTGAGGATGTGGTTAGCACCTACTAGGAACCCACATGCATTTAAGCAAACAGAAACAAGCATAGCACTAAGGTCTTGTAATCAGAGCTCAGGGGAGTGGGGATACTGATAGGGCACAAATAGGGGCAGCAAGGTCCCTAACAGGTCCACACATGTCTGCATGATGAAATAAACACATTCCCCTCCAAACTCCACTGCCTGCATTGCACACTCCTCTTCTCCCTCACAGAGCACAGGAAGCCAAATCACTGAGGTCTTCCTTGGCCCTGTATCTTCTTCACAATGGGCCCTCGGTGCTAAGCCCTGACGCCACCAGAGTGAGGCACACAATACTGCCCAGGGTGAATACATACATAGACTATGACAACAGAAATTCCAGCGACCTGTTGGGAATGAGTGGCTGCTTTTCTCTCACCTTTTCCAATCTCTGGATTTTTCTCCTCGATTCCTGAGTTCTGGAAGTTTTCATATGTAATTGTCATGCTTGGACAAACACTAGGCTTCTGGGGCTGTCTGAACTGAAATTGAGAGACAGGATCCAGGCTGACACAGAGCTGGGACCAAGGAGAAATCTAGAAGTGGTGTAGAACCGAGATAAGTCTGGAGCTGAGATCAAATATGGCATATGCTATAACCAGAAGGAAAAGGCCTGGCGGGGGCAGGAGAGATGGTTCAGTGGTCAAGAGCATTTGCTTCTTTTTCAGAGGACCCAGGTTCAGTCACCAGCATCTACATGGTGGCTCACAACCATCCAAAACTCTATTCCAGGAGATCTAATACCCTCTTCTGGTCTCTGTGGGCAACAGGCACATACATGATACATATACGTATATGCAGTCAAAACACACACATTAAATAAATAAATTGCAATTGAAAAATTAAAAAGGGGGTGACATGCAGCTGTGCTAGAGATGGGGTCAGGATTGGGCTTAGTATCAGTTGAGTTTGGAATGTGGAGGTAATGCTAACAGCTAAACCTATTGCCATTGCTAGGTCTGACAGGACCTGTCTTGATACTGCGCCCTTTCCTTGGGCTGGCACCTGCACTGGACTGGAGCCATGGGAGAAACTGGGCAAAAGCTTGCAGAGAAACGGGAAGCAGAATAGGGATGAATTCAGTCTTCCATCACGGCTGATTGGAATGTTCAAACTGGATCTAGGACCGAAACTGAGATCAGGATAGGGCCGGTGGACAACAACTGGATCTAGGACTGAAACTGAGATCAGGATAGGGCCGGTGGACAACAACTGGATCTAGGACCGAAACTGAGATCAGGATAGGGCCGGTGGACAACAACTGGATCTAGGACCGAAACTGAGATCAGGATAGGGCCGGTGGACAACAACTGGATCTAGGACTGAAACTGAGATCAGGATAGGGCCGGTGGACAACAACTGGATCTAGGACTGAAACTGAGATCAGGATAGGGCCGGTGGACAACAACTGGGCTGCAATTGAGACACAGCTGGGTCTTTGTCTCACGTGGGACTGTGGCATCCACAATCCAATCTAGAATCCGATAAAGGGAAACTAAGTCCCACACTATACTCTTGTATCTCTTCCCACTTTAGTGCCACCGATGCCCAACGCCTCCCTCCTACCTGCAAATTATAGCACATTCCCTGTCCCACTGGTCCCCAGTCGGGTTACCTGTGCGAAGTCTGGAGACTGTGCCTCTTGGCTTCCTTGTGCAGCGATGAGCAGGGGTGGGAAGTCAGTCAGAGTGGAGAACTATATCCCAGAGGGCTGGTGTGGGAGGGACCAAATCAGAAGTCACTAACTAGTACACATGACAAAGTGCTTTTGTGTCCGGTGGTTCATATTTTGGGACAGGCAATTTCGACTTTTAACGGTAAATAGTACTGAGTGGATTGTGATTGGTACATGTGCAGGTTGTGTGTGTTGGGGGAGGGGTTGGGCTTGGGGCTAGCTTTGCACTTATTCTCAAGGGTGTGCCTTCTCCCATTCCTCTTTCTGGGAGCTCTCATGACTTCCTCATTTTTAGAGTGTTGGGGTTAACCGGAAAGAACACTCTGTTGTTTTCTCTTATGCCTTACGTCTTCATCCATTTCCTGCCTATGTATTTCCAAGAATTGTTGGCGTCTCCATCATTTACCCTCAAGCTCAGAGCAGCCTGTTCTCTCATCTTGTTCACTCCTATCACGAGTCCACAGCATCTGACTATTCGCATTAACTAACTCGGGCTCGTTTGCTCTGCCCTTGGATCATCGTGAGTTGGCAAGTGGCAGTCCTATGCCCTTGGATGCTCAAAGTTCAAGTCCTGAACTAGAGGCTCATGTTTCCAGGCTCTAGAGGCTTGGGGTGCTCAGATTGGAGGGGACTGTTGCTCTGGGATTTGATTGTTAATGGCCTGGCACCCAGCAGCTTGAATAATCCTGAGCTCTTAGAAGCAACTGCTACAGCAGCCTTGAGTGCTGGCTAATGTCACATGTCTCAAGTGTCAGGACTCTTGGCTCTTAGGGTTTAGAATCTCCATGTAACTCTTCCAGTGACTATGGCTTGCGGTCCCTTGTCTTTGTCCTTTCGAAGCCTTTCCTATAATACATTGTCCTTTGTTGTCTATGCCCCTCTGCCTCCTGCCACCCTTGCCCCTGGCCACTCGTCAGAATCGTGTAAGTGTCCTCTTGTCTCCTCATGTTGCCAGTCCAGAGCCTGCTTTACGTTCAGTGAAAACCAAAAGTAATTAAAGAAAAGGATATTCGGGTGAAACCTTTAACTGGGCCTAAGTTTGCAACACCTGGAGCAGCCTTTTAAGGTTTCTCCCCACTAAATAAAAGAGTGAGCCAAATAGCCTGCTCCTTTCGCCAAAAAGGGGTGTACCAGAGGCGTTTTTTTCCAATTGTGATATGGTCCTTCATGCAAACAATGGGATGTGTTTGCACCAACCATGTGCTGTTATCCAAGCTATCAGGAGACGCCTTCTGCTTCTGGCCAGGGTGAAAATGGCTGCTAGGGTTCACTGAGGCTTAAGATGGCAGAAAGTGTGCCACAAGCTGTTTGCGTTATATCTGCCTCTGAGAGCTGAAGTTGACAAGCAGCGGTGGTTGCAGTGTAGCTTCCTCAAGAAATCCGCGCAGTGTTCAAAGTAGCCAGATCGGCACACTCACTGATAGTCCTTACTCAAGGCAGCCTGGGTGTCAGAGAGAGGTCTAACACCTGTTACTATCACTTAGTTACATTGCCGGAACCGTCAACACCGCGGCTCACTGAAGGAGGAAACACAACCACGTCCGTCACCAGCAAGTAACAAACAAGGGTTGATATAGCATCCCCTTATTAACAGTTCAATCCCCACAAGCAATGTGAGAGACATTTGAGTGCTGGATAGTTTGTGGCTTATGGCATTTTGTGACACATCCTAAGTCAAACGTCTCTTACAGGAGACGGACAGAAGTCAACCCCAATGTTGCCACCACCCTGGCCTAGCTCTCTGAACATGTTCTGTCTTCAGAACATGTTTCCAATTCATTCATTCTTTGAGTGCCCTGAAGAGACTGTCTTGAATCTGTGAGCACATCCTTTTGAAATGGAGGGCAGTGGGATGTGCTCTGGATCTTGTTAAATGCAAATCTAGGTCAGAGGTCTCCCTTTGACTCAGTTCATCAAGTGTGCTTTACAGGCCCGAGTCTTATTTCATCGCGTGTACAGTTACTTGAGCATTTTCTTCTTTGTTGTTGTTTTTTGTTTTTTCTGAGACAAGGTTTCCTCTATGTAACCCTGGCTGTTCTGGAACTTGCTCTGTAGACCGGGCTGAACTCAAACTCACTGAGATCCGCCTGCCTCTGCCTCCTAAGTGCTGGGATTAAAGGTGTGCACCACTATGCTTGGTTCCATTTTCTTATTGTTAAACATGTAGGTTATTTCCAATTTGTTTCTGCTTTTGCTTTTGTCAGTGCTCTGAATAGCATGTTGTTAGTCAAAGATAAACACTATATTTTGGCTCTGTGACGTCCTCCATAGGCTCCATATTAGAGGCTGAGTCCCCAGCTTGATATTATAGGGAGACAGTGGACTGTCTTAGGGGGAGGGTCTCGCAAGAAGGACTTGGAGGGCTGGAGGATGGGGCAGTGGGGAACAGAGCCATACCTTCTCAGGGGAATTCTGGCACCAAAACCACTTTCCATTTCATTTCCTGGTCATCAGGTGGAGGGTTTTGTCTGCTACATATACCATCCTGACTCACCACTGGCCCAAAGCGATGAGGCCAGTCAGTCGTGTGCTGAGTCCTCTAGAAGCATGAGTTAAAACAGTGAGACATGAGTTAAAATAAACCCTTTGTCCTTGTGAACTCTCTTTGCCCAGGCATTTGCTTCAGTGAGATAAAGCTGACCAGCATAGCTTGGCCTTTAGAAGCTAACACTGAAACAGAATCTAGTTATGAGCTGTTTATAATCAAGCAGACCCTAAGGGGGTGGAGGAAGGTGCAAACCGAGGGAGACCTGATGCTCTTAGCTGCTCATTTGGAGAGCTCAAGCGGTTCATGCAATATTTCCACACAAATTGTTCTGATGGGGTGGGGGCCGGGGGGCAGATTTCCAGAAATAAGATTATCTCTTCCCCAGGGTTGTTTGTTATCACTCTTGGCTCCTGCTGCCACACCGTAGCTTAGTGGCTTTCCTGACCTAACTCTACACAATTTGTATTTATTCTCGGGCGTGGGCCTGATGTCTCTGGCTCCTTAGCTCGACAGATGGCTAATGATGAAACAAAGAGAAATCTCCCAGTCTTTGCCGAGGGACTCTACAAGTGTGTGGGACACACTGTGGTACCCTAGCATGAGACACCCCTGCTGCGGCCTTCACTTCCTGTTTGTGCAAAGCCTCAAGCTTAGACAGCAGTGAGAGACGGTCGGGTTCTTGGTGTGTAAACAACTGAGCACATGTACGTGGTCTTCTAGATCCCCTGAATACCTTGAAGCTTCTCTAATCACCTGTGAAAATTGTAATAAACCACATGAGAAAGGTACAGACAGGCCGAGCGTTGGTGGCGCACCCCTTTAATCCCAGCACTCAGGAGGCAGAGGCAGGCAGATCTCTGTGAGTTGGAAACCAGCCTGGTCTACAGCACAAGCTCCAGAACAGGTTCCAAAGCAATAAAGAGAAACCCTATCTTTGAAAAACCAAAACAACAACAAAAAAACCCAACCAAATAATAATAATAAAATAAAAAGGTACAGACAACCATACTGATTAAGCCAATTAAAAGTATATGAGCCAGCAACCAAGAGAAGACTCAGCCCTCAGAGTCTCCTTGTACCCAAGTTCAGGGGTACAGTGTTTTTACGCACTATGGAAATGATTCCTGAAAGTATAGTCTAGGTACAGTGTTTTTAAAGGGAAAAAAAGTCACAATAATCTCACATCAAACGTATATGAGGGTCAGAGTAACCTTTAGTAATAATTTCAGATTTAGCATGACAATTATTTTGGTTAGTATATGTAGACCACGGTCGACGCCATGGAAATGTCAAATGTGTTGCCAAGGCAGAGATCTGAGAGCTCGGCAACCAAGGCGGAGTCAGCACAGACGGTGTTTCCTCAGTCACCTCCCCATTTCTTTTGGTGACTCTTAAATCTTTGATTTTTATGAAGGGTCAGGTACTGGGTAACAATCAGTTAATTAAGCAGCGCCCAATTGTTAGACCTTGGAAGAGAAGGACAAGAGGACCCATGGGGCCAACGAGTAAGGAGGGCAGCCATGGAATCCAATCAAACCGGCGGCAAAACAATGAGCTGTTGGCCTTTTCTATCTATTATTTATAAGGGCCAACTGCTTTTTGGATGTATAACCAGGCATAATTTACTAAAGAAATTAGATTGTTTGTTATAAACCTATTATTTAGATACAGCACAGCCAATAACTTTTTGTGTTAGTGTCCAGTCTTGGGGAGCCATCAGCATAGCCCTGTAGGGAACATTATGGCTACTATTACCATGAGTCCAAAGGGAGAAAGGGATTTAATCCTCATCTCCAAATGGCCACAGCTGAGTTTCTGAAGCTTTTCCTTGTGAAGGTCCACAGGCTTCTGGATTTCTAACAGGAGCCAGGGTGGATAGTTGGTCTCCGATGGCCTCAAGAAGATGACATGAAGAGGCTGGTCTTCGTGGACTTTCATGGGCCACATTTCTTCCTCCTCAGGCAGTATTGTTTGTTGCCTCAGGAATGGAGGAGTCACAGGATGACACCTGTAACTCAGCGTTTACATGAGTGTATGTACTTGAGCCTGCTGTCCTGATGGCCCTGTGACAGAGCCTCCGTCTTGTATTATTTAAAAGTCTCTTGAGGACTTTTTGCAGAATCAGGTAATTACCTCTTGGCCCTGGAATTAGCTTGTGTTAAGAGAGAAGAATTGAAATCTGTGGTAGAAGTCATGTCCAATTGAACTAACAGGTAGGTCCCACACCAGTCAGGTGACAGACTTCGGGATAAGGTTTCCCTGTTCACAGCAGCCTCACATGTCAGTTTGAGAGACAATGACTGAAGACATTGCTCTCTGCTTCTGTTGTTTGAGACATTTAGGATTCTGACTCTAAGATCGTCTGTCTGTGTAAGAGGATCCCCATGGCATGAGACATGAAGAGTAATTCATCTTCCCTGTAGACAAGGAAGTTTTCCTGGTTTGTCGGGCCTACACGGGTGGAGTGGTCATGCCTACACAGCCGAGGCAGGAACACCAGGAAATCAGACAGTCTTCTTTCCCTGATCCTTCTCCGGTGATGAGGCTAGCATGCAGTGTACTCTGACGGGGTCTCAGTGAGCTCTCTAGTCATGCCAAATGAAGATGGCTGCTGCAAGTGAGAATGTCTAGACAGGTCAGA